CAGACAACCTCTCGTCAATATGCGTTTTTCGCATTGCATTGCTGCAAAAAACGCATAAAAAGTGATCGGGTAGTAAATAAGATGTAGCAAAGCCATTTGGTTTATCATTCGAAAATAGTAATGACGCGTGGAAGCAACTGACAACTCACTATAATTTTACTTGCTGTTATGACTACCAGATTTTGAGCTAACCGAATGGGGAAGTGAATACACAGAAAATCCGTATACATATATTATCCGCCAAGTCAGTAATTATTGTCCAAAGTTGAACTATGACCTCGTTGCGTATTTTATAAAGTTTAAATAATATTTTTATGTAGTATATTTGTAGGACCTCTAGAACGAATGATATATTTGTATTTCTTGTTGGACATTAATTTAATGAGCTAGGCTCAACAAATTAAAATATTATAGGTCTATAAAATTGTATCTGGATCTATAATTTACAATTAATGGGGTTTCGATCTAACCTCAGTAAAAGACCTGCAATAAGCAAATATTTCTGCATATTCTTCGAATGTAGATTTTTTCATCCATATTTTGAGCTGAAATTCAAGATTGGCAGTATAAAGCTTCAAATAAAGCTCATGATATCCACTTCAGAATCGTTCATATCTCCTCTTTCTCTGAAGGGCGTCTCAAATCCTTGAGATAAAACCTTGGTAAACTATGATACAGATATATCATTCTAGAGCCTTCAGTTTGTTAAATCTGAACGAAAACTTAATTTTTCACTCATTTATCAATTTGGCAACACTGTGTGAAAATGAGATAACCAAAAATACAGAGAGAAAACTGTCCCTGAGAAAAGCATGACTGCATCGTGTGAGAAGGCTTCTTGAAATTTATCATTATAGAAGAGTAACTCACTGCGGAGGGGACAATGCATAACACACTAAATTTAGGAAGCATCATGAGCATATTCGCATAAAAACGGCTGAGATTACTGTAATCCACTGTGTACAGGCAGCTTAGTATTTTAATGTACTTCCTGGAAAACCCGTCCCTCGCTACTAATAACTCTTTTATCTTCTCAAAGCTACTAGCGATCCTTATGAAACATTTATAATTTTGATGATTCAGTTAGCAGCATATCACAGGCTTCAGTTAATAGTGCGTGAAAATGAAGCTGAGAGAATAAATGAGAGTAATTGCTTATCGAGTTACCACTTCATCGCTGGACGTCGCGAGCTATGGGCAGCTGCCGGAGGGAGGAAGGCTGTAATTCCTCCACAGCTCCCTCCTTTCATTTCCCTCACACCCACCAATACTCACACAAAATGCTCAGCGTTGCTATGACAATGATTGCGTCCGAGGAACTCTAGTAATACTGGTACTATTCAGCTGGCCAACAGATTACGCAGTAATTACACCCTACCTCCTCCCTATTCACCGCTGTCGCCAAGAATCAGTGCATGGGCAACTGTGTTGGCGGATTCAGGAAACGAACTCAAAAGCTACAGCACAAAAGAAAAGTTAGGTAATGTTTGTTACTCGCCAACATAACATTTAATTTGGTGGTAAAATGCAAAAATTCTGGAAGAACAGGAAAACTGTTCATTTTTCCTCAAGTTAAATCAGCAGCTGAAAAAAAAAATCTTGGATTTTTCCCAGGAAACTTATAACTTTATAAAATAATTCTGTTCTTTTCATTAACTGAAGTTATGCGCTGTTGCACTTTTAAGGTTGAAAAAAAAACCTAAGTGACGTTTGGAGAAGCGGATTATTCAAATGACGGCTGCTTCTTCGCTTAGTTATTGTCACTGAGTTTATACAAAAAAAAAAACTTATGAACATTTTTTTTTTTTGAACTGGAAATTTTTGAGAAGGCTTCTTTACCCACAGCGGAAGTTTGAGCTGTATATATCAGTACGGGAAATTTTTCAGGAAAATTCGAATTTGCGTACTGGGTCTGGACGGCGCCGGCAAGTCAACTGCAGTACGAGCACTGGCTTCAGGTAACCACCATTATGTCTTGATCTTTTTTTTTATATAACTTCCGAGCTTGCACTAACAGCAACCAGAAACCCTTATAAAATCCGTTTTCCGCAGCAGCTGCAATCATGGCACTAGTTATTTAGCAAGGAGCTGACTATTAACATCAGTCAGAAATAATAATTTCTAGTTACACTCCAAGCACAACTATGTCAGGCACCTTATTTAATCTGTATTTTGCTAGCTCTGTTACACAGACTCGCAGACTACCCGTATGGTACTTGCCGTTATTTCAGTAACTCTTGAAGATGTACAGTTCCCGTTCGGTTTCGATAAGATGGGCAGTGCCCGAGCTTCAGTGATGCAATGCGAACTTAATAAAAATTGAATCTTTGCTGTTTCAGAAGACATTACTGGCGTACAGCCAACAAATGGTTTTACCTTGGAAGAATTTAAGTTTCGAAAAGCCGAGATTATAGCATATGATCTAGGCGGCGATGAGAGAATTCGCTCCATCTGGAAGAATTACTATCCCGAGGCAGGTAACTTTATCAACGTTTTGGAACAGGCCTTAAATTACGCTCCAACAATATGGAATAATGAAATGTTAAAAAAATGACAAAAATTATTAAAATTTTTGACTTCTGGCTTTGACTTAGACTGGAAAAAACCTCAAATTGGCATAATGGTAAATGGTACTGCTCTCGTGCTAAACCTTTAGATTATGAATTTAACTTCATCACTGAGAAAACTAACCTCTCTTCGTTTATTTTTTTCATTTCATAGGTGTATGCCAGGAAGTCAAACACGCCATCAGTTTGCTTCTTAACAATCCTCGGAAGAGGAAGTTACCGACATTCTTGTCAGTATTTGGTTGCTGTTTGCCATTAAATCACAAATTACTGTGCAGGTATTTGGCGTAATCTATGTGATCGACGGCTCAGAAGAAAATCGTGTTTTGGAAAGTGGCGAATTTTTAAAAGATGTGATCAGTGATGAAGATCTCAGTGGCAAACCGATCCTAGTGCTCATTAACAAAAACGATCACCCGGGATGTGTCGATGAAATTCAGCTCACCGATCGACTGAATCTGCATCACTTAGCGAACTTATACCGAACGCAAATTCGAGTGGTAAGCTGCGCTCTTAGAATCATCTAGTCTCCCTAATTTCCATAAAAAGCTTATAAAAAAAAGTATCTCATCAAAAAATGTAATTTTCAAAACTGAGAATGTAAACAATAGGAAGCTGTGCGTACCAGAGGGGCTAATGTAGATGTTGCACGATATCCAGTTCAGTGGACTCTCTCAACATATTTTTGAATGCTGCTAGGATTGCCGGATTTCCTTATTAGCAACTGAGAATATAAAATAGGATTTCCCCTAACAGGATTTTTGACAAATTAAGTCAGTGATTTTGTTCGTTTTCGGGTTGTGAATCTAGCACGTATTTGTAATTCCGGTAATCTCCAAAGGTACAAAAAGATTTGAAGAATTTCAGGTTTGTGGCTCGTACACAGTCAGAACCTTTCTCAGAATTTTAAGCTTTCATCGCTTTCGGTCTGAAAATTCAAAATTTGCCAAGAACTTAGAACCCGAGTGGCCCTTTTAAGGGGACTAAAAATTTATTTTCATTGCAGATTAAAAATTTTTTTTGTATTTTTTGTTATGCTATCTAGGAAGTGTGCCAATCGAATATGGGGACTGGAAAAATGATGGATTCGGCGCTCAGAGACGGTTTCGAGTGGCTTCTGGAGAGGATATATGATGACTATGAAAGGCTAGAGAAAAAGGTGAATGAAGCACTGTTGCAGCTGAAACGACGTCAAGATGAAGAGCGAATGAGGCGACAACATCGACTTGCAGCAACTGTTAGCAGGTATATGCATCCTGAAGGTTTCGCTGTCCGGATGCAGACATGTAACGGAAACGAAATTTTCAACTTTATCTCAAACTAGTTATTTAACCATTAATACGACGGATGATTAAAAGTTTGACGTCTTCGTGTTCTCTTTGGGTTAGATTTTGCAAATATTGGCCAAAAGCCATTAAAGTACTATTCACCTGAAATTTCACCTTCTCCCGCAAAAATAGAAATTGTAATCAAATTAGTAAACAAGGAAAAAATTAAAGTAGGAGAGATTATGATTAATAAGGAAAACGTGGAGGAGCATACAACAAGCAGTCTCACGAAAAATATGTGGATTTCATTTTCATCCTGCAAATATCGAAATTCAGTGGCAAAAGGCTCGAAAAATGGAAATAATTTTGAAGGTCAGTGTGGAAGCGCTGGTTGCCATGTTACATGTTTTCCAGTTCAACAAGCTCCAGTGATAAAACAAGCGATGCTGCGGAGGCTGGCGCAATTGTGGATGGAGCTGCTGCTCGAGTCCCAGCAGAACCGCCCCAGCCGGATACAGGCGTATCTACCCTTCCGGAACATCGCGGCGCCGATGAGCTTGTCATGCTCAGGAGGCTAAAAGTTCTTTTTCATCTTTTTTGCATTTTTATGCGTTTTTGCTGTGCAGCGCTATAGCCAGCAAAAATGCATATTGTCGAGAGGCTGTGTGTGTGTGTGTTCGGGAGCAAGAGCATTTTGTCACTCACTTTCATCTCAGCAACCAGGAAAGCTGGGAGGCTGAAACTTTGGATATATTTTCCTGCCCCGTGTGTCATCCTCCTTTTTTAAGATCTTTCTCCATACGCGCCTAGACCCCTCGTACGGGGCCCCCAAAGAAATATATTGGCGGGAAACGGTTTCACGAACCAGACAACGTAGAAAGCTGAAACTTTGCAAGGATATTCTTTA